TCACCTCGCTGTATGTACCGTATGCGATAATGAGGGACACCTCGGCTTTGCTCTTCAAAGTTAACAATTCGTAGTCGATTGTGTGTGCATAGACTAGGGACTCGGATAATCTCTCAATTTGACTGCCTATCGGCTTTCATCACCTGCATTCAATCCTCGTCGTCAAGTTTCTCACTAAGTAGCTACCCGATATGTGCTGCCAGACAGCACTTTTGTCCGCATGTGTGCCCTTGCTGTCGGCCGCTCTCAAGATTGATGAAATCATCCAACTGGATCTGTAGAGTTGGTAAGGGCCAACTTTGAAGTGAGACACCACGATGGCTATGTAAGACATTGTTATATATTAGCCAGTCCAAACACAAATGTCTCGAACTCCCGAAGTTCACGACAGCCAGGTATTGTCGTCACCGGTATGGAATATGGCGTCGTAAAAGCGGGCGGAACAGTCGGTGAGCGTCCGTGAAGAAGAGTCTTTCCGTAAGAGACTACGGTCTAATCCTCTATGCAAAGCATCTTCACTTGAAGGCTGGACGGGCATGCGAAGCAAAGCGGGAACAGGGCATTAGCTCGCACAGGCGTAAGGATCTGAAGCCACTATTGCTTGATGCCTGTCTGATTGTTTCCCGAAGTCCGTCAAGGATCAAGCCCAAAGCCTAGCAGCTATCACTGTTACATTCAACTCAAAGAAAACTGATGAAAAGGAAAAATACTAAAAAGAGCAAGATTTCGAAGCTGGGCGTTGACAAGGGTCTAATGACAGATGAGAGTGCACAGACACAGAATCCTTACCGTGAGGCTAGAGAAGGATCGGTTATAGCCCCGCAGAATGGCGATTGACGGACGCAAGGCCAATCGATGTCCCCAAGTGGGATTATGAAATGCTATTGGGTCGCAGAAGAAATTGTCCATCATGGGCATGAAGAACTGAGGCCATGTCTCCCGTGGCATCATCACTAGAGTCATACTATTGTTGATTAGGCGAAGTGACTCGAGACGCTGGGTGTTTGTAAGTTGCCAGTTCAAGAACAACGCAATCATTGCAGGGCCAGGAATCGCACGTCAACAGGCCAGCGCATGTTCTGGACCCATGTAAGTGAAGCTGCCTATAGCCGAGAGTTGATGTTGTAGAGGTGAGTTTTGGCAAGATTACCCTATAGTCAAGTAAGACTTGGGAAGGTGTAAGTCGCACTTGCCAAACTTACACCTCATGGCTTCACCTTTGCGCAGTAGGTAGGTAGTATCGGTACCACTTTCTCAAGTTGCTGTTGCTGTGCGACATTGCTTGGAAGGTGTTGCCCAGAACCCGTGCAGTTGTAAAACTGCAGGTTGTGCTACATGAGGAATCGTAATCTTCGACCCCGCAACAAGAGATCTTCCATTGTCCATCATGGAAATGCAGTGAATTAATGTCGCGTCACATTGCATCTCAGCCCAGGCACAGAAACATACCTCTTGCTTGTTTTGGTCAGCAGTCGTCGTAGCGACACCTCCATCATTGAGTATCAAAGTGCATATCGCTCTGCTCGGACATGGAATTGCGATTTTGAACCAACCATATCTTGAAGCCACTCACCCTCGCACGACTGAGCCGTCTATCATCTCCTCAATTCTACACAAGGGTATGCCACCTTGCTACACTTTGCAACGCCTATAATCCCAGATATCACCGATTCAGCTGATGGATTGGGGCTGTTTGCCAATTGACAAGACAGCTTTTACCAAACTACAGCAGACTAATCCATTTACAGTGCGACCAAGAATGCGCAAAATCTAAATCCTGGTATAATGTACACCACAATACTCTGTACACCACATCTCAGTTTTGCTCTCGTTACAAAGTCATAAAGTTCGACAAGGAATAGCACAGTATCAGTCAATTGTCACCGCTCTCCCCGAAATATTGCTGTGATAGCCCGCGACCTGTACATGAGGCGACTGGACTTGTCCATGTGAACACGACTGGCCCCGGTCGATTGAGTCACACGAGAAGCAAGACAAAATATCGAAACTTGACCGCCAGTATGAGCAATCCTCATAGTTCCATCGAAGAGGCAAAATTCCAGTCTGGAGCCCGCGACAGATAGACGAATTGTGGATGAGGCGAAGCAAGACGAGTCTGGAGCCAACCAAGCGATGCCGCCCAGATCCGCCTGACTTCTGCCGCACGGAGAATCGTGGCGCATGCGAATGTTCGTTGGAAGCAAACCAACGAAGAAGAGAACGGTCCGTTCCACTAGCCTGCCCGTGCATATCTTGTCTCCTCATTTGTGAACAGAGCAATCGTTGGCTACCGTGATTGGATCTTGAGTGACATAAGGCCAAGACTGGCGTCCGCGTTCATAGTGCCTGAAGAGGAAATCGGAGTTACGAAAAACTGGTGGTGGGTCAAGTAAAATAGCAGACAGGGACTTTTACAGGGACTCCAAGCCTGTGAAGGGCCTCACAGCATGGTGGGGGGGCTCGTAACCTTGAGCAGTAAGGGACCCTTTGAGGGCCTCCTTTAGCGGCGACAGGGCACACCACCAAGCACAAGTCGCCAAATAATGCGAAGAACTCTTCGTGGGGAAAACATACGATTGACTAGTCTTCACCTGCGGCGTGTCGGCGGTTTTCTTAATGCCTGGCACAGCTCGGAAGACTAGCTGCCCGAAAAATGGTGATCTTTTCTGCCAATTGAGGTTGATAATCACGGCAGATCTCCATGAGACCCGCTCTACAATATTCAGTTTGTCAATTGGGCATTATGTGAACAGTAGCCGAGACTGGGATATGGGACTGAAGCTGGAGCTGGCTCCAGCTTCGACTTTCAGTCTATCAGATCCTGAATACCAGCTCGCAGCTTGAAAAGTCCCAAGCTAATGCACCATGCGTGAGTCAAAATGAACACATACTACTGATACGCAAATGTAACGGTTTCCGGTCCCACAACCAAGAAGCTGGAGCGGTAATGGGCTGGGTACTTCCAGCCACCAGGATCCAGCGCAATATTCGCAACCGTTGAAAGTTTGTTCCTGGATGGAATGGGCGAGACAAGAGTAAACTTTCCAGGCTCGGAAAATATGCGCCGTTGCAAGGAAACACAAGCTTCCATGTTCACACACATTCACATCGTTCCTATCACCCAAATCACATGGCTAGCCTCATGTTCAGGAACGCAAGAGTGTTACGTTTTACAGCACCTCGCAGACGCAGGGGGGAACAAAATACGTTGAACAAGAGATCAAATGTTACCAGAGATGACCACGTCGTCGACTATTACGATGCCAGCGACTCATAACCCAGTGCATCTCAATGTCTAAGATTCGAAGCCAATCTGTACCGGGCATCGTATATGACGATACCAATCAACCCATGTCGATTCTCATTGTCTCTCGAGAATTTTGTATGCAGATGATGGGGCCTGTTTCCCGCCCCTATGCCAAAGCTGCGCTGCATGGTCCGTGAGGACCTTGTCATTGCAGCAAGAAAGCTGTTGTAACACTGAGTAGAGAGTACGGATACGCTGAGAGCTCGCAAAATGCGAAGCGAGGAAAGATAAGATCAAATTTCTTGGGAAATGTGATGAGGAAAGAAAACAGATTCATCACCTCTACGCTGAGGGTTGCCAGGGCATCCATCATCAAAATCACACCAACCCATTGAGCTGAGACTGTGATGGATGAGAGAGGATGAGATATTGATCTCAACATAGTTGCTAACATAAATGGTACGTTGACTCGTTGCTCAACCTCATCTCAACATAGTAACACTAGGTGAGGTGGTGAGCAACTCCAGTTCCCGGCGCTTAGACGCCCGTTAGGGCCGCTACTGTGCTTTTCAAGGTGTGGCTCTAACAGATCTCCAGCTCTGGAGCTTGTGTTCGCCGAGTTAAACCTAACGCCTCATGAGCCAGGGTCGCAACGTGCGCCAGGTCAAGCCAATCGACGAGCACAGACTGCTTAAGGCATTGTGCCCCACGCTCTTCTGTCTACGACAAGGTCCTCTCTCATCGAGCATCGTCATTAAGCGTCCAGCCCAGCAAAGACACTGCTTCACTAGCATCCTCTGAACCTCAAGACCCCGGACACTTTCTGATTCGTGAGCCAAAGGTAAGGAACGTGACTGGGCGTGCATTTTTGCATGCGAGAACGAAACGCAGCCACTATGCCCAGATCGGGGGCCCAAACTGGTACCGCCAGCTTGACGCCGCGCACACACCCCAAGTCCGTCGACGGTCGTTCCTCGTTTCTCTCCACTATCTGAACCAAATCTCATGCATGTTCCTCAGCAAGAGGGGCCTCTTGTTACCCAGCCTCCATTCTTTACGAACACCGTTATTCCTGATCGCTTCTCAAGTGAAAGCAATCCGGTCAAACGCGATCTACATGTTGGTCAATGGATATCTCTTGCGGTTGGTGATAGGATGCTGTTTGCTTTCCACTTCTGCGTCCCGTGCCGGTGTGATGAAGCCGCAGAACCCTGTCTTCACCCTGGCCCTTTTGCTCACACCCTCCTCTTGATACTCCCGTCTCTTCTGCTGCCGCCGAACAAGCCAGGGTGCAAGGGTCTAGGGTCTAGGGACTAAGGACTGGGTTCCAGTATCCCAAGGGCCTAAAGATATGGCCGCAGACTCTGCATTTAGCACTCACTCAAGTCTATTCTTGGTCTCCATACCCTCCGTGACCGCCATACTCCTGCTGGTTCCCTCAGTCACCAGCGTTGAGCTATAGTGCATACATAACATCCCGTAACCGCCCGCTCGCCCGCTCCCCTGGTCCCCTCCTTCTAAGTTTTGCGACCACTGTATTATCCTCTTCGACATCACGAGGTTTATGTTTCCTTTATTTGTTTCTGTTTGTTTCACGGCGTGCTCTTGATCGTGCTCAGGCACTGAGTTCTAAAGAAACGAGTGCCGGCAACGGCTAAACCAAGCAACCATCACTTGATATAACCCATCCTTACCGACCATATCTGGTGCCTGGTAGCATCAATACCTGGATATCCCTATAAAAAAGTACAAAATGGTAAGTGCGAAAAGCTCGAACGTGAGTGTCCATAGAAACCGCTAACGCGCCGACTTACAATAGGAGTACTCATCTTTCCGAGGCGGAGATCGCTTGACGTACTCCCAAATGCGACAACAACCTCTTCCTCGTGATACCTTCTTCAGTCTCAAGAATGATTCCCAAATATTGGAACGACCAATTTCAGTAGCAACCGAATTTGTGGACACGGACTGGGAGGAAGAGGACGAGATTATTAGTGACGAGGAAGATAACTCACCACGCATAAGCTTGCAATCAGTATGTATTTTGCGTAAAACCGATACAAGTCTTGGAAGGCACTGACAGCCGAACCTTTTCAGGCCGGACAACCGAGTTTCACCACAGTCTCTTCTTACGATGAGGTCCCAACACCAAGGTCAAGCAGAAGTCAAGAGGTCCCTGTTGAATACTCACCCAAACAAGTTGAAGGCCCTCGAGGACCTCATCTGTTCCGAAACTCGACTGACCACTACTCATCAACTGAAGAGGATATTATCCTGACACTATCGCCTATCACCCCGAAAGGACCTCGAAACATTGCCGACTTTCTCATGTCGTCTCAGCCACCACCGCAGCCCCGTGCTAGTCCTTTCCAATACACTGATGTGGAACTTGACACGACAACTCTGGCATCATGGACTACTGAGATGGTTGCACAGGCTATGCTCAATGCTGGCATTGAGTTGTCTGTCGCTGACCGATTTATGGAGAATGACATTAGCGGTGCAATCTTAATTACATTAAAGTTCGAAGACCTTAAAGAGCTCAGCATCCAATCTTTTGGCATCAGGACCAAGGTCTGGCACCAAATCCAAGCCTTGAGGGATAGTCGTCCTGCGTCACCTCAACCGGAGACTCCAATTGAGGATGTGCCAAGCAGGGAGTTGGTGAGAGAGGCGCGAAGACCTGAAGAGAGTGGACTAAGACGTCGCCAGAGCAGCAAGCGAAGGAACCGAACAAGGCCAAACAGAGACGATATCACCCCTATGGAATCAGTATCCATCATCGGTATCGAACAGGTCATCCCGAAGCCACACCATTGCTCCAAAGGAGAAAACTGCTCCAAGTACAAGAAACAACAGCAACTTATCCGGGCCTTCAAGAAGGAATATCCCCATGTTGATATCAATGCTACCGGGACGGTCATGATTGGTGATGCTGGAAACCCAGAGACTGCCAAGGCATTGGATCCCAACAAGGTCCGACCCATCTCAGATGCTGAGCCTTCTGTAGTCGCATCCTCGGATGTCATGGGTCCTGGCATGCCGCCTATTCAGTACCTTTACGAAGCATCTCTTCGTGGAGTCCAGGCCAGAGATCCCCAGGACAACGTCAGGCAATTTCTTAACTTCCAGCATCAGCATGGAGGTGAATGCAATGAGGAAGTCCCTCCCACACCCCCTTTTGCTGGAATACCAACTGCGCAGGCTCAGCTTCCTCACCAAGGTTTGCGCCGACTGCCTAAGCTCTCCATCCCTGGTAAGGCCCCGCTGCCGCCTTCACGACTTGGTGCTTCATCTGTCCCTCCTCAGAAGAATCAGGCACAGAATCAATCGTATGTGCAACGCCAGCAGCAACAACAGCAGCAGCAGCAACAGTATTACCACCACCAACAGCCTGCTTTTATACCTTACCAGATGGAAAGGACCAGCCCTCGGTCTCCTGACCTGGAGATGACACCCAGAAATAACTTCCGCCACGGTACACCTTTTTCAGAGCTTGATGTTCCTGTTACCGCTGTACCCATTGGCCCTGTCGCTCGTGACTTCTCACAGTCTGTTCCCCCTGACATGAACTACCGAACATCTCCCACCAACAACGTTTCTCCTCCCCGTTGCCAGTCTCGTACTTCAGCCCGCCGTCCATCTTTCCCCGTGATGCCCTCTCTGGAGGAAAACAGGCCTATTAACACGGCGCGACCCTCTCAAGGGTCATCATCTCCCAGGTCGCCGCGAGGCTCACGAGCTCAGCAGCCGCTTCAGCCGCCTCCTCGGGATAACCTCCCCTTCTCGCGTGGCCACCTCAACGGTTCCGAGAAAACCCTTGCGCCTTCTATCACACCCCTCGGCGCCAAGGGAAAGTCTCCCTCTGCCGACCCTGCCAATGGCATTAGCCACCAAGGCCCCATGAAGAAGCGTAAGACCAAGATGCTTCGACACGAGTGGCAGGACGGTTACTTCACTCTCAAGGGTACTCGTCTCAACATGCACAAGGACTCTGAAGAGCTGGACCGCACTCTCGAATATGTTGATATTGATGACTATGCGATTGCTTGCTCAAGCGTGGCATCTTCTTCCAAGCTTAGTGCCGCCTTCAAAACAATGCACCTTTCTCGTGGCAGCCACAGCCGTGAGAAGAGTGACCCGGTTGGCGCATTTGCTTTCCAGCTCATTCCTCAGGAGAAGAACACCGCGCGACTTCGCAAGCGCGAGAGTCACATCCAGCCTGCTGGCTCAATCCCTGCTGAAGGAGTTAACGGCACAGGCAAGACACACCACTTTGCCGTCAAGAACCGTGATGACCGTATTGACTGGATGCGTGAGCTCATGCTTGCCAAGGCATTGAGACAGAAGGGCGAGGGCTTTGAGATCAGTGTCAACGGCAACATGATCTAAGTCGACTCTTACCACTTTCCTTTTATCATCTACGAAACTCTACTCTGTATTGCCTTTTCTTTCCCACCTGATAACTCTGACCGGAAATATTTATTCTGGATCACCGTTACTCAGACTGCTTGTTTATTATTCTTTCTGCACTGGTGTTTTCGTGTGCTTTTATATGCCAGAACGTACAACCACTTGAGCGGATACCTACCGCGGCTCTCTCGCGGGATGCCCACACAACGGATGAATGTTAGCTCAAAACGAGCAATGGTGCTTTTATGGGTATTTGGGCTTTGCATATGATGTTCTCTTTGTTTTGGCTACAGCCTGGTTATGACCTACTTTATACCACTCACACACGACTTTAGAAAACGCAACACAGCACAACCCACTCCCTTTAAAGGCTTATGAACGACGACATGGATACCATATGGCGCTACTTGACTTTTACTTCATACAGATAGCTCAGGCTAGCTTCTTAGGATAGGAAAACAAAATGAATTGATGAATTTATATACGTACATGTCCCACCCAAACTGATTCCAGATGTGAACGATCTGTAGGCGAGTTGATACTGAAGTAATGTGAGTACTGAGCCGACAAATACCAGTCTGTGGTCTCAAATAGCAGTAGCCTTGTCTGCTTCAGACAGATCATGTGATGCAGACTTGAGATGGATGTGAGTAAGTGCCCTTACATCCAGGGACAACTGACTACTAGTATGCATTGTCCATCAAGACATATGAGGTAAACCTGCAGTTTCGCTAATAATTGCTGCTCGTATTACAGTCTTAGAGTACCGTGGCCATAAAAGAATTAATCTTTGGTAACGACATCAACTTCCTTTGTATATCATGTTCTTCTGGGATAGAACAATCATCAGAGTTTCTAGCTATCAGAATTATGTCTCATAGGATAAGTCGAGACGACACTTGCCACCAAACACCACTGTATAATCCCTTCTCATCACTCAAACTATCACATACGACCACAGCTCGTGGAGAATACGGGGTCCCGTCTGCTCCCCCATCGTCAAGCCACGAAGCGCCGGATTAGTAGTTGGATCGGTGACGACCAGCGAATACCTGGTGTTGTATGTCTTTTTTTTGTTTTTGGTATTTCACTTTTTGGGCTGTTCCTATAGAAATACATATACATACGTGCCGTGGTATCATACCTCATTGCCCTTCGCTCACCCTCCATAGACATGATCATGACATGAACACTTACTGACATCAAATGGTACATTTTCCCCACCTGTATATGCAGAGTACAATATCTTACAAAATTCGCTCCCCCTCCGCCTCTTTGTCTCTATCTCAATGCCGTAACATCGTTTTCCCTAAACTGTACATCCTGTCTACACAAGTTCATCATATAGTATCTCCCAATCTTTACGCCGACTTGAAGTCAGGTCGTAGCACTCCTGACTTTTGAGCAACCTTTTCCCAGTCAATAAGACTCCACCATGACTCTGCGAATGCAACCTTTCCACCCTGACCGCCAGCACCGACACCCCAGTCCAGCAACCAGGCGTGCTCCCATGTGTTTAGGCACAGAAGAGGCTCGAGCTCGATACCTCCTGGAGGAAGATCGCCTGATCGCTTGTTGGCACCGAAGGCCTGGTTGTTCATGAAGTTGCGGGCGGAGCCGTCCTTTCCGACAGTGTTCATATCGGTACTTTGGGCACGCCAGTGAGCGCCAGGGTAAGGAGAACCAGCGAGGTAGGTGGGCAGAAGGCGGTAGTCGCCAGGGCCGGCCTTGACAAGCCAGAGGAAACCGGGACCGAACATGGCGGAGGCTGTGATGATGAATTCTCGGCGGAGGGTCTCGATGGAGGAGAACGAAGCCTCGAGCTCGTTGCGGAGAGCATCGGGCATGGGGGTACCGGTGGGGGAGATGCCCTGGAAGAAGAAGTGGTTGTTGTGGGCCATGGAGGCATAGTTGAAGATGGGGGCCTGGTTAGGCTCGCGGGCTGTCATGAGAGCAATTGTCTTTGTGTCCTTATCCTCGAGTTCGGTACCTGAAGGAGTATTTTGTTAGTAAATGCAGTATCAGTGGGCTGATATAGAGAATTGAATATAGATGAGTATTGCGGTAGTTCAATGCTCTCCTAACATCAATGCTACACATACCGACAGTCAAAGCATTCAGCTTCTCCACCATGAGCTTCATGTACTCGGTCCAGGCAATAGAGAAACCTCCGGGGCTCATGAGGTTGGGAACACCCTGGGAATAGTCGTGCGGCAGCTCGGGAACATGATGGATTGAACGGCGGGCATTGACCATTGGGCGCATGCCGAGGCCAAAGACCTGGCGAGGAACCCTTAATCTCGGACGAAGCATTTTCTCTGGTGAAAAGGGCGACGGTGTTGGAAGTTATCGTCAATTGAACCGTCGTCGTCGTCGTCGAGTTGGGACGATTGGATTGGACTTTTTTGGTGTTTGGCGGCTCTTTCTGATAGGCCTTGCCTGAGGTTTCTGCACGGAGCTAAGTTTAACCGGGAAGATGTGCTGAGCCACGGACGATCTAGGTCTGTGGCGGTGCAGTGGTTATACTTGTCTTGGTTCAGACCGGGGAAAAGACACGCTAAGTGGAGTGGCTGAGTGAAGAACCTGAGACTAGACTCAGAACGACCGAGATACAATATCAATGACCCGGCATACCTAAGGTAGGCGTGGCCGAAGCGGGATAGGTCAGCACGGTCAGGTACCTCTGCAAATACATTAGTAGCGTACGTAACTGAGCGCCTAGGATACTGTAATGTTCATGATCACAAGTCACAAGTGCATCGTCTTTTTTAACTTTGTCCCCCTTTCCTTCGTCTTATTTCTTGGCCAGCATCTTTGATTCGATCACCAACAAAGGATAAGTTTCATTCTACAACACATTCTGTCAGAGTTTGTCCGCCAAGCCCGTACTTTCGCCTCTCTCTCCGCCCCCGTTGGACCCTTTTCGGTCATCCTGAAACATCACCACTTTCTCTTCTCTCCTCTCGTTCTCGTCTGAGACAAGCGACATCATACTCAATTAAACCACCAGACGTACATCAGCAACTTTCCACATGCAACCACCGTCAAATCTCGAAGTTATACCAGTTGGCGTCGATGATGCTTCTTCTCTAGTATCTGCTTCTTCAACCGTTATCGAAATGGCCACCTCGGTCATTGCCTCGGCCGCTTCCATGGCTACATCTGCAGCCGCGTCGGCTACGTTTATCTCGTCCGCACCACCAACACCATACGACGAAAAGGAGTCCAACGGAGAATGCTCGTTATTAGGTTCCTTCGCGCTTCTTGTGCAAGGCGCACTCGGTGCTTTGGCTTTACTTTCGCTCGTATATAAACGATGGAGGGAACGGCCTCAGCGACCTCTCAAGATTTGGATATTCGACGTTTCCAAGCAGGTCTTTGGTTCCGTACTTGTGCATATCGCAAATATCTTCATGTCTATGTTGACAAGCGGTCGCTTTTCGGTCCAAGTCGATCCGTCAGCATCAACCGTTACTACGCGTTCTGATGACGACGATTATGCTCCCAACCCATGCTCCTTTTACCTCCTCAACCTCGCCATCGATGTAAGTGTCAGCCGTGCCTTTACTTTTCATGTCTGATCCACTGACCTTTGAACTTAGACCACTCTCGGTATTCCTATTCTTATCGTCCTCCTCAAGATCCTTACCGGTCTTGTCCGTTTTACACCCGTTGGCCAACCCCCCGAGTCCGTTCAATCAGGAAACTATGGTAGCCCGCCAAATGTCTGGTGGTGGTTGAAACAATCTGTCATCTACTTTTGCGGTCTTTTCGGTATGAAGGTCTGCGTTCTCATCATCTTCATCATGATGCCCTGGATCTCTAAAGCCGGCGACTGGGCCCTTGGCTGGACAGAAGGCAACGAGAAGCTGCAAATCGCATTCGTTATGATGATATTCCCTCTCATCATGAACGCCCTGCAGTACTACATTATCGACTCGTTTATCAAGCTCAAGGACACCGACTACGAAACCGCCAGCTCCAACGAACCTGATGATGAGAGTCGGCGCAGGAGATATGACGATGACGAGGACGAAGCTTCACGCGATAGACTGGTCCATTCTGAGCACGAGACCGATAGCGACTCGGACGACGAGGCCGATAAGCCTGTCGCGCGTTCTGCGCAATCTTCTCGCCAACCTAAAGCAAGAGACTCTGGAGAGTACGATCCTGAGCGCGATGGTGACGATCGGACCATCATAGGAAGTAGTTCGAGCGCCCGCGGCCCAAAGGACAAGGTACCCCCGGAGCTGTATCCTAAGGAATAGTGGAGAGACAGCTCTCAGCCTGTGATGGTTTTTCTTTTTGTTAGATTTCCCTGACTGGTGGCATCGGTGTTTTAAGCGATATTTTGGTTTAAGTTGTGGAGTTTCTTTTTTACTACGATGGTGTAACATTCAGGTGCACTGTTTGTCTGGGCTTCTTGTACCGTACGGTGAAAGAAGACAGATGTAGAGCGTATACGGTGGTCTAGGGCGTTATAAGATGGGATCACATGGCTTTCATAGGTATTAGAAGCGAATTCATTTACTCTACGCTTGGGCAAAGATATTGAACCGTCATTGTAACAGGTGGCCTAGACTTGCATAAAGTGACCGGAGTTCGTTCAACAACTCTAAGTTTTCCATAAGTCTTAGGACTTTGGAAATAAATAACCTAGAAGCCATTCTAAGAGCCATCCTAACTTGCCTAAAGTGACGAAATTCCATCTCAACTATTGAGTTCTGATAATCCTTAGGATATGCATTGAAAATTAGCCTAAGAGACGGCCTAAACTTTCATAAAGTGACCAGACTTTATCTTAATTGTCTAAGTTTTGACAAACCTTGGGATCCACATTGAAGATAGAGATAAGTATAGCCTAAGAAGAGACTTAACCTTGCGTAAAGTTACTAATTCGTTTCGTCTTCATTCTCATGGTCGATTTTCTCATACTAATACCTAGTCGTTGACTAAGCTGACCCAAAGGTTTCTAGAATTTATCAAGCCTTGTGAATTCGTCTTATAGCTAGCGACGATGCCTATGTTCAAAATGCCCGAAGGCGTCTCGCCAAGTGATGTGAATAAGAAGTACATCGTTAGACCTTTCCAACAAAATCTACACTGAGCATCCATGACTTGGATGATTGCCAGATAACCCCACCTGAAACGCCAATGCAGACCCAAAACCCATATTCAAGGAACAACTCTATATCCATAAAGTACTGAGACAGATAAGAGGCCAAACGCCTTTCCTTTCTTTCTTTTCATGCCATTGTTTCAGAAACTATATCCATCTCTCTAAGGCTGGTATGGCTTGAAACCGGGATACGGCTGCTGAGGCTCGTAACTGACCGGTGACTGAGACTCCAGCAACTGTTGTCGTTGGGGCACAGGGCGAGGGCCATAGTTGCCCTCAGGTGGTGGTGGTCGGTAGTTGTTCATAGGACCAGGTGATTGACGGGCCGGTTGGGCGTAGCCGAAGTCGTTCTGGGGAGCGGGTGAGTGACGGGCTGGCTGAGCATAGCCAAAGTCGTTTTGAGGACCAGGTGAATGACGGGCAGGTTGGCCGTAACCATAATCGTCAGCAATGGCGGGAGAGCGTCGTGGAGGAAGATTTCCGTAACAGCCAAATTCATCCTGATGCATGGAAACTCGTTTGGCATAACTGACAGGGCGAGGCGAAGGGCTTGCTCGGTATCCAGCGTAGGTAGCTGCCATGTCCTGAGGTGGGACGCCTTCGCCGTAATTCGGTGTGTTGCCGTGTCCTTGCATCTGACCAAAGGCTGGAGCTTGTTCAAATCCTTGGTTGTAGCCGTAGCCTTGATTCCCATGGGCAGGTTGGCTCAAACCTGGAGAGCGACGCTCGTGTGGCATAGGAGCAACGGCAGCAGCGCCGTAGACTTGGTTAGGAGGGGGGGCCTGGTAGCCATAACCTTGCTGGTCGAGTGGTGAATACACATCAGGAGCTTGGCCAGGGCCTAGGTAGCCACTCGAGTTGCCTCCGGGTTGACTGTATGGGGTTCCCATCATGCTGTGTTGGCTAGGAGGTGGTTTGGAGAGCGTGTCCAATTCGACGGCTTCAGTGTGGACCTCAACCTTCTTGCTATTGGCACCCTCCCAGCTGGGCATTGCAGGCAAAGCGTCGTCGTCCTTCTTGCTCGTTTCGAATTCAGCATATTGAGGTGGCTCGTTACGAATAGGCTGAGTAACTCCATACTGAGGTGCCGAGGGGTTCATAGGAGGTTCGGTTCGATATCCATGGTGCTGAGGCTGAGGAGCGTAAGGATCGTCAAGGTGCTTTGTCTGACTGCGAGGAGGGTCACAAGCACCGCAGCAGTTACCGCAGCACTTGAGGCATTGACAACAGCTACAACAGCACGAAAGTCCACAACAACAGCAACGAATGATACACCAGACAATACTAAAAATGATAAGACCTCCGATAATCATGACGCCAATCACTGGCCACCTGGAGATTGTTAGTGAACAAAGCTTGAAACTGAGAAGGGATATATACGCACTTGCACCACACCACATTCATACAATTATCCCAGCTGGAGAAAGCACTTGCGAAAGTCTCAGATGTGGCAGAAATTTCGTCAGTTGTTTGGGCGGCATCAGCGATCATATCTCGTCGTATAAGATCGGAGGTAATAGTTCTAACGAACTTGTCCTTGACTATTTCCCAGGCGCTGCCTCGAAGGCTCCGCGCCATAGCCTCGTCGATGGAGGGCATTATGGCGATTATGTCGCGGGTTTCGATATATTCAGATAATGAGCGTATTGGAACTTGAAATGTCGAGTACGTTGATACAGTGATATCTCGAGATATAGTGATGTAGTGATGCTGGATATAATGGGTATAATGCTCTGTCGTATGAGCGAGTCGTTATGCTAATTGAGTTTTGAAAATAGTGATGGAGAAACGGCGAAAAGTCAATATTGTATGGTATTTGATACAGCGACGTATGTGGTATTGTTTCTTCGGCGCGTAATTCAAGTTGTTGATGCGGGTCGTTAATGGAATGAAGGATGACGGTTTAGCGGTAGAAGATATCGGGAAAGCGGCGCTCGCACCGGTCGATATAAGAGAAAGTAGTGAAGAGAAAAGAAAGGAAGAATATAATCAAAAAGATCAAATGAGGGTAAACAACCTTTGCAAAGGTTCAAAATAGGCTCAAGAGTTTTCAGCCATGGCGAGTGTTGTGTTGGTTGAGAGGTAAGAATGAATGAAGCGAAGCCAGTGCAGTGGAGGGAGTCAAATGGAAGTTCAAAAGATCCAATCCTACCGATGCAGGTGCAGGGACCCAGCGTTACCGCCAGTGGCGGGGAGGATCCAGGGGAAATGGGACTGCTAATTTTACCCCTGGACGGGTCAGGGCAGCCGACCTCAGTGCATGCAGGCGCCAAGGGACTTCTGAAACGGTGAAACCCAAAAGGGATGTCGATTGGATGTCTATGGGGCGAGCATTTCATTTCAGCCTGTACTACTCTGCACTACGTAGTACGTAGTAGTTGATGGACAAATTTGAAGATTGATCTCGAGTATATTGACATCTATTCAGTGCAGAATGAAATGTATCAAAACAATGAGCATTTAATATTCTATACAAGCCAAAAACAAAAGGACTGCTTGTTGCATGGGACAACGACGCCTTTGTGGCTTGGCCTGCGAACCCTACTCCGTATAAGACCGACGGTAAAGAGGAACATTGAGGAATTGAAGGAAGAAGATAGGCAAGTTCAAAGATTGACATTAGATGTCGACGATCGTTGCTACACATATCCACCATAACTCACTCTGTATAAAGGTCACAAAGCAAGCACTGCAACTCTCCCTGCTTCTTCTCAAGCACAACCTCAAGTTCAAGTCCTGACGACTTTAACCGTAGGTGCGCGATATTAAGAAGAAATCAATTTACTTCAAGCCTGCGTCAGAGAAAACCCCATGCCATTGTCCCCGTTAGCTCTGGTCTCAGCGGGGGTCTTCAAGGGCGACCATTTCCGAAATGACAGGGTCGTTTCGATAGCCGGACGATCCTGTCGCAGAATTGAAGGGAATTCAAAGCAAAGGGTTTTTAACGATTGCATCATAATTGTACCACTGGAGAAAGTACATAGCGGGAGGACATTTGGCCCTGCTTTGACTGAACTTAAGTCTTAGCATCGTGACAACCCTCACTTTGACTTCGCCAATATGCGCGGCTATCGGCCCAGATACTTGGGACTTGGCGTTGATAAGACCAAGAAGCCAAGCCCTAGGCTCTTCTTGCGGTGATTGCGATGTGCAAGGTACCAAATACGCGGATGACCTCGGTTGCATTCTTTGAGGCCGTAGACATTCAGATCGTCGTTGATTGCTACGTGAGAGTGATACCCTAAAAAAAACGCCCAATATATGGGTACCTTATTCAGTATATGGATGTGTTTTGCTGAATGGCCATCATGTTTCATGCAGACTCCTCTTGTCAGCGGCTGTGGCGCCAATGCATCTGCCAATCGATGCACGAGAATTGGCTTCTTGAGAAGCTGAAACGGAAAGATGCAAGACTATTGAGCGCCTCGCGGGAGACTTGAAGAAATCATGTTGGATCTCTTTTAAAATAGACGCGGCTGTGCTGACATGCAGAGAAATAGGCGCTGGTAATACCAAGATTTGAGATATGACATGATATCTTGCAGCGGTCAACTATAACATTGAGTTGTTGACACGAGACCATGTAACAACAACGTCTGACACCCAATACGGCTACGGCGACAAATCTAGTCATCTATTGCCATCACAATCATGATCTATTTTCTCAGATTAATAATTATTTAATAGGAGAAAGCTAGTTGCTATGTAGGTGATCGAAAAAGTTATACATCAATCCACCCAAGAACCAGTACTGTTCGTGAGAACAAGCACTCTTATCCGCGATGTCTCTCGACGAAACAGCAGCCATTACATATCATGAAATCAAGCTCCCAAAACGCCTCAACAAGTGGTATCCTTTCGTTTCATTTCCATATCGGGGCGTGTTTTCGCAATATTCTTACATTCATACCACTCTCTGTTTACTTTCCAGGAGGAGGTCCAGGAGGGGGCGCATATCCGCCATCGCGTTGATAAGTACCCTGAGGATGCTGGACTCCGGATTGCTGACCATAGTAACCGTCGTTGGTGTTAAATGTGTTGCCGGTGTACTGAGGCTGCTGCTGTTGGCCGTACGCAGGAGGCGCAGCGTAGCCCTGATTGTAGCCGCCTTGGTTGTAACCCTGGTTATGGCCACCTTGGTTACCGTAGTTGTACATTTGGTGGTTGTTGTTGTTCTTTCCCCAGGGCTTGCCAGCCATCCAGCCGGTACCGTAGACGGGCTTAGTGCCACGGCTCTTACGACGGCGAGAGATGCTTTGCAGAGGTTAGCATGCAGTTCAGTCATAGATGAGGTGATAGTGATGGTGATAAATACTTACAGACAGCACATGAAAAAGAGGACGAAGAAAAAGATAACGACGCCTGCTAGAACCCAGCGTCCCCAGTAGGACCAGTTGTTGCGGTAACAATAGCCTCTACTGTAACTCTGGCCATAGCCGCATCGAATGTCGCGCGCAAAGAGGGAGGAGCCGTCAGTGGGCGCCATTGTTGATGTTGTTTTGTTGATTGATGGCCAAGACACGCGATGCCGTGTTTATGTATCGCAGCAATACGAGAAAGATGAACGAGGAAAGTTACTGATTGTTCAAACCGACAAACTTTGTTTTTAACTTATTGCACGTTGCTCGTTTGCGGCGTTGAAATGCAATTGTTATGTGGCTAAGGCTTGGCTAAAGTATGACGTATACTCGACAATGATGATGATGCGACGAGGGTGACGTTTAGGTTGTAAGCCTTGTAGGTGATAGGTGATAGGTGAGGAAAGGGAAAGGTTATGTGATTGATTGTAGAAAACAGGAAATTGTCGAATCAAACAAGAAAGATGGGATAAGGGCGAAAAGAAGCACAGAGAAAAAAATGTGTGGGAGGGCAGCTGGTCTTTGTATTCAAGCTGCGACTCCCAAGATATCAGCCAAGCCCGCCCAAAAGGTCAAAGTTGCCTGGCGTAACCCAACCAAAAACGCGGTCACAAGCTCTATCTTTTCCCTAAAGTCTGGGCATTTCCACTTTTTACTTCTTGGCTGTCAAAAGGCTCTTGCGATGGTAGTGGCTGTGCGTAGCACTACAGTAACACTTTCAAGCTTGGCACTTACATCACGGTTTGAGTGTAACTGTAACGTCCCCCGAGACTTGATCGTTTGAGAGCATGCGCCCGTCATCAATACGCAGCGTATTCTCAATCAATTGAAACTCCAACGGCTACAATCTGCAACAACCTAGGAGCCTTCCATTGACCGGCAAGTTTATACCGAGATCAACAACTTAATCACCTGTCCAAACCCAAACCAAGCCTGCTGAGCCTCATATCTTCGTGGCTCTTTACCCACTTAATCATGAGCTTCGCAGCCCTTCTTCAACATCTGTGGCGAAGCGTAACTGTGATGACGACAAAGGTTCCACCCCCAGAAAGCTACTTCACCCGATTCAACGGAAATTACCTTATGTCGACAGCAGATCTGCTTACTGTAGTGAGTCGTTGATATTCTAGAACGTCATATCAGCAACCTCCAAATGCTGGACTCTTTGCGAAGACTCCAAATATCCTGACACGTTAGATATTACGTATCCCATTTCGCTAGATGCTCTTTACCAACAACCTCGGGTTGTTCTTTGCCATGCACTTTCACGATTAAGCCTAATAGCTGGTAGTCACAATTCTGGGTCTGGTTTAGAGCATGCAGGAACTAGGTTAATTGCCAAACACCAAGTCCGATGCCTGAGCGCTATGGACTAGGACCCTGAATAAACTCCTTGCTGGTGGTTATTCGCGTTTGCAATAACTTGCAGAGCAGTCGGCACCGCTGAGGTTTCTCGATAGAAGAAAAAGTCTTGTGATATCCAAAGTTATCCATTCGCTCTACCCTCTGGTTATTATGCTGCACCCCTGGGTATGTTGGCTTCAAAAGCCAACTGACCTCGCATCGAATAAATCAGCCTCTCGTCACAAAACAATGAGCACTTCTCATACAGCTCTAAGTCAAACGCTAGTTGCCTTGGACCTCGCAAGAGGGTCGATCCATTACCGACGGCATATTGTCTTTGTACCCCAAACGCCGTCAAAAATCATCCATCTTGCGCCTTTTCCTTCCTAAAAAGCCACATGATCCGTCATGAAGAGGTATAGTATATTCGTAATTGTCGTTCAGCTTAGAGACCGGCTCGAGGGAAAGAGTAGCGTTGACGTCGAAGCTCGTCAGCTGCCTTCATGTTGCGCTCCGCGGCCTGTTGAGCTTGTTGTCGCGCTGCTATCGCGTTGACCTTCTCTCGGGCCTTGAGCAGACTGCTGTTATCTTGCTGCTTAATCTTGGAGCGAATGTCGTATAGTTGCATGAGCGTGCTTGCTCTTTCTAAATCTTCCTCGAACTACATAGAAGTCTTGTCAGTGCACAGTCCTAGCTTAATCGTAGGAGTAACGGTTAATGGAAAGTCTCACATCAGATTCGCCACGGCGAGGAGTGCCAGGGACGGAGTTCACTGCTGACCCCGTGTGGGAGTTGGGAGAGAGGATTCGGCGGCCGAACTTGTCGAACTTCTCAGAAGACCAATGACGCTGTAGGCCCGTAGGGCGTCGCTGGTTGTTGGTAGCAGGACTCGAGGTGGGGGCAGTCGCAGTTGCATCGGTTCGGGTGTAACTGGGTTGAGGAGGGTTGCTGGCGCTGACGATGGCTTCGGCAGCTCCTGGATCCTGATAGCAGTAAAAGTTAGTCTTGATGGTAGACAGAAGACAGTCGCGCAGTAATGCGAAACTTGAGGCGTAGCATTGAAACGTACGGCAGCGCCCAGGTTGCTGAGGTCGGCGAGAACCTGGGATAGTTGGAGGCTCTCCATTGTTTATAGTAGAATTTTGTTGAGATGTGTCGCTAGTGAAGTTGGCGGCGATAAAAATAGTTGAGTTTACTTCCTATTGCATTCATAAGAAGAAAAAAGGCAAGATATTTAGGTCTTCTCTAGGAGGTAGGTAAGAGAGGAAATGAGGTTAGAACAAGGTCTGAGGGGGGAAGGTGTTTTTGACCTGGATCAGAGTGCCGCTTGCTCTGGCTTGCTGTGGACAAATTTTGGGTTTCGGAGGCAGAAGGTGGGCGGGCAGGCAGCCGCAGATCCGCACCTACCAACTTACAGGGGCCGGGGGGGAAGGCGAAAGGGAAGCAACCAAACTTTAGGCGGGCCCCGAATAGCGATTGTGGAGGGGTAGACGGTAGAGAGAGCAACTGACACCGGTCAAACGGTGATACAGTATCGTCTTTGAATCATTAATAAGGTATTTTACTATGAATCACTGATGAGCTTCATAATCAGTGATACATTTCATGATTTTTATCTATCGCCACTGCATATGGAATCACAATTACGGTCTAATGAGGTATCAGGACGCTTTCAATGCAAAACATTCGATATTATGCTGAGAAATAAGAATTAGTGAAGCAAAGCACCACAACCACCATCATAATCAACATGATTGGTCGCACCCAAGATTCTAAAAGTCCAGAGCCCCAGAACTGCATTAATCGTGCATATGATAGCCCGTGTCCCCCGGATGCAGTGGGATCTTGTGGAGGGGACCTGGGGGCTAAATTCGAGATTACAGCGTGTCGAGACCTACCTCAGCCAACCTAGTATCCGGGGTATCGATTGCTCCCCCACACTTTGATTCCGCCCATCTATGGAGAGGACGTCGTCAAAGTCACGAGCTTAAAAAAAGCCATGTCTGAGAATGGGAAACGTTACTTGCACAAAACAAAGGACCGGTTAAAAGAAGAAAATCTCACCGCTTCTCTCCCATTGAAACACGTACGAAAGAAATCGATCGAACGTGGGATACAGGCATAGAGTACTGTATCTCTTTTATCACATCCTGATCATCGCTCTTGTCCGATATTGCAGGTCTTTTCCTTGTATATCCAGAATGCCAGAGACGCGTTGCTCATGGTTGCGTTGCATTCCACCAGGCGGCGAACATTGTTAATCAATATTGCATCAACATCCGCCCTGTGCACCGGATAGGGGTAAGGATTGTCATCGTTCAGCCTGGTATCATTGCGGACACATGGAGGATTGTTTTTATTTCTCACTACTAAAATTCGTCCATAATCACTCGTCACTAGACTGTACCTCGTTGGTTCTGAAGTTTACCTCCACTACGTCATTGCATGAATGACTTCACGGTCAGCTCTCTCAAATTATCGTGTACTAGACTCCCTAATATCAGTCGCACAACCCATCGTGATCTTTGCATCCGAGTCTGTCCGATTTCGGGGCACATGATCAATTGTCAATTGAATTGAAACATTCCCCATTTTATCCAGGCCTGGCCAGACAAAGATGCAGGTTTTGGCGCATGTAACCCTCTCATTGACCGGGGTTCCCCGCAATATACGCACTGCCGATGCGTGAGCTTTTGAAGCTTATGGGGAGCTTGAGTCTTGGCTAGCCTAACTTTAGGATACTCGTATGATAGAATTCTCTAGATCATTAGAGTAAATTAGTTCTCCTTATGATGAGAAGATTCATGCGTTTAAAATATGCATTAGATATGTGTTGCCCTGCGAGGTCTGAGCTACCTCAAAACCAGCATCATATTGCAGTCCACCGTTTTGATAACTTCCATTCAACCCGGAGTGAAATCCCGTCTTGCCCGCGCATTTTACCTTACTGTAGGATTGACACAATGTGGAGCTGACCCTCGGGTCATCCATCTCCTGTTCTCGAAGCGCGCCTACAGTATGTCGTCGATCTTGGAACCATCTTCATCCCACGTTTGAAAAGCCCGAGAGTACTCCGAATTGCGCGGCGCACATCTTAAAGTTGTGAGGAATCAAGAAAAGAGGTACTCAGGTATCTAAAACAGGTACCTAACCGCCCTGCTATCAAACCGATGTCATATGTTCGTTTTTACTTGCTGATGATAGCGGAACGCGGCACCGGTCCGCAGCGATGGTATCCACCCCCGCAAAGCCCCGGAAGTCCGGCCCCACTGATCTTCATCTGCTCTCTAGGTATCCGTAATCCTTAGAATACAAAAAATAAATAGTCTAAGAGCCTGGTCTAAAGTGTCATAAACTGATCCACTTATTTCATCTCTTATGCTCTCAGCACCCTTTTGTACCCCCTGGGGATCTGGTTCTGTCCGGTCCGGCCTTCAAAAAATAGCCTGTCAACTGTCTAGACCAAGGACTCGGTCAAGGAGTTGCTGTGATCGTGTAACCTCATGCAACCTTTATTGTTCAGAACTTAGCCTGTTAGGCTCAAAAAGTCCATGGATAGCAAAAGCCTTTGCAAAGGTTATCGTCTTTTTCTGGATTTGTCTTTGCAGTTCAGAGCAATATCTGAACTCCTTTGACACCAAGCAGAGATATGACATTCTAGATAGATGTACCCTCTGTGCCATGCAAAAACAATAGTCTTAGTTAGTACATGTATAAGGTCAGTTTTCTCGTGGGAAAACTCGGTATGTAACATAAGGTAATCCCTGTTGTAGTCGTCTCGATTATACTGCCTGGATCTCCAGCAGCCCATTTTTGTTATTTCTCCATTACAAGGTCGCAAAGCAAGGGAGCTCAAATCTATGGAATTTGATAATCTGTCTAACGTATGTGAAAAGCGCTGGCATATGTGCTTTAAAGCTTTAGAAGACACCTAAATCCGGGTCTAAAATCCTACAAATCAAGCCATTGCTTTCACTAAGACTCCAGACGCTCTCAAGTCATTGATCATAGTTTTATTCATAGTATTCATCGAAAAGACTAATCATAGGTCATCTTTACGCGCCAAACCAATAGCCCATTAATCTCTGGGTACTCCCGTTAACCATAATGTATCATTAAACCCAACCCTGTATTTTTGTTTTCTTTGGACTGTCTTGGGCTCTTTAGGCCTTCTCGATTCTGCAAATGAGATCTGAACCGTCGACAGAATCACCCTCGCGAACGTGGAGAGAAGTGACTCTACCAGAGTGCGATGCACTGACGCTCATTTCCTATACAAAGTTAGTAATCGATGCCCAGGAACAACAAGTAGATAGTAACTTACCATCTTCATGGCAGAGAGAATGGCAATCGGGTCGCCCTTCTTAACCTCGGAGCCCTCATGGACACGGAGTTCGACAAGGACACCAGACATAGGCGCGCCGACCTGGCTCGAGTCATTAGCATCGGCCTTAGGTCGGCTGATGTTCTCAACAGCAGCCTTCTTGTCAACAACAGTGACCTGTCGGACCTCTCCGTTCATCTCGAAGAAGACCTCACGCTGTCCAGTGTTCTCAGACAGGGGACCGACAGCAAGAAGCTTGAGAATCAACACCTTGCCCTTCTCGAGCTCGACGTTAAACTCCTCGCCGATCTCAGGGCGAGACAAGAAGTATCGGGTGGGCAGCACAGAAAGATCGCCGTATTGCTGGACAAACTTCTTGTAGTCCTCGAAGACCTTGGGGTACATCACATACGAAGCAACGTCACACTCGGTAACAGGTGCGCCGTACTTCTTGCCAAGCTCGCGCTTGGTCTTGACGAAGTCGACAGGGTCGAGGAACAGACCGGGTCGCTTGTCGAGCTTGCGTCGACCACGAAGAGCATCGGATCGAAGAGGCTCGGGGAATCCACCGTAGGGCTGTCCCATCATACCTTCAAGAAACTCCAGGACGGAGCTGGGGAAGTCGAGCTGAGATGCCTTGGCCTTGACGTCTTCAGGGGAAAGTCCGTTCGAGACCATGAACTGGGCGAGATCGCCAACGACCTTGGAGGTAGGAGTAACCTTGACAATGTCACCAAGAAGCTCGTTGGCATGCTCGTAAGCCTTCTTGGTCTCAAGCCACTGAGATCCGAGTCCCAGTTGAGAAGCTTGGAACATCATGTTGGTCAACTGACCACCTGGAATCTCGTGCTCGTACACCTCAGGGTCAGGACCAGCCAAGTGAGCCTCGAAGGGAGAGTAGAGCAGACGAAGTTGCTGCCAGTATACATCGAGGGATCGCACAAGCTTGGGATCCAAGCCAGGGTCGCACTCGCTTCCCTCAAGAGAAGCGATGATAGCGTTGATACTGGGCTGGGATGTCATACCCGACAGACTGTCGGTGGCGGCATCAACAGCATCGGCACCAGCCTTCGCGCAAGCAACCATCGAGGCCACACCAGTACCGGCGGAGTCGTGGGTGTGAACGTGGATAGGAAGATCAGGGTACTTCTTGCGAATGGATCCGATCAGAAGTGTCGCGGCGTGGGGCTTGAGCACACCAGCCATGTCCTTGATACCCAAGATATCAATGTCAAGAGCAACAAGCTTGTCGACAAGGTCAAGGTAGTACTCTAGATTGTACTTTTTGCCAGGACGCTAGAGATGGGTTAGCCGATATGATCCAATTGTGAAAGCATAGCAAATCGAGTAGAAAGGAAGTATGATTGTAAAAGAAACGGAAGGACAGGGAAGCTCATAAAGAATAGCCTAAGAATTTGCCTAACCAGCATAAAGTGACCAAATTCTTTCGTCCTTTATGTTAGGGTCTCGAGGCTTGTCTAAGGCTTGCCTAAGTGGTCTTGCGCATAATCCGCATGATGCGGATGGACGGTAGTCATAGAGCAAACCACTATTGAGAAGCGTTTGCAGCTTATCCGTGAGTTGGCGCTTGGGAGTTTGAGCTGGGGTTGCATATGTTTCAAGGGAAGAGGAATCGCTGGCGAAGCCAACAACAAAGTAAACAGTAAAATGGAAAGAGCTACAAGTATGGCGCTTATCCATAGGGAAGGAGCCAACTTGGTGCAGAAAAAAAGTGAAACACCATCGTGAATACTTACAAGCACTGTTGAGATAGTTAGTAAAACATCACAAGTCCAAGGAAT